GCATTGTTCTGCATACAAAGCATGAAATTAGAAACCTTCCCCAGTAACACATGAAACCCGTAGGTTTGCCAGCTCTGAGTTGGGAAATTCCTGGAGATTTGTGGGTGGAGCCTGAAGAGGACAAGGTTTAGGGAGGGGAGGGACCTCAGTAGGCTGTAATGCCATAGAGTCTGTTATGTACGCGGACCGCCACCAGGGGTCCGCGGACAGGCCAGAGCTTGGATCCTAGAACAATGGGAACTTCGGATCCTGGATCCCCCAGCCCCAACCAATAGCCACCTTGGCGGGACATTCAAACCCTCCAATGGGAATGGGGGGTGGCTGGGTGGATATGTATATAGTTGGCCCTGTCGGCCGTTAGAGTCAGTCTTTGTCTGTGTTAAGTACAATAAACGTGTGCTACAGCGTGTCGTCGTCCGAGTCCTCCATGCGGCAAACCCAGTACTTTTCACTGAGTTTCAGGGTGTCGGCTTTTGAGCGTCGGAGCTCCCTCCGTCAGACGCTTCTGTCTCTCAAGCGCCCACCCCCGGAAACTCTGGCTGGTCTCGAAGGCGTTCCTGGACGCAAAGCTGACTTTGTGCCCCTCCAGAAGGAATCCTGCCACTTCTCTTTTTCCCTTTGCCCCAAGAAGCAACTCCGTCAACAAGGAAGACCCTGGCAAACCTTGGCCCCGTCTGGAGTATTCTCTTCTGCCTTTCCTGCCCATTTACAAGCTGTCACTCACATCGTTCCCTTTCTCACTCGGTTACGGAGTGGAGTAAATCATTACAGCAGCATTTGGCCGTGGACCAAATGCGGCATCTGTCTGTCAAACGCACCGGCTTAAGGAAGGGAAGGGAATTTTCCATTTCATTGGTGCTGGCTAGTCCTGTCCGCAGTCTAGGCGTCAGGAGCACGTGCCCGAGGGCCGTTTCCCCTCCACAGTGAGCATGGGAGTGTGCCACTGTCATTTCCTCCTGTAAAATCGTGAAGGGTGTTCGTAACATTCGGAATAATGCCATAACCTGTGTATCTAGGACCAACAACGTGAGATATAGTCGTTGCCAAGTCTCCTTATGTCCTGGCGTTCCTCAGTGGGAACTTTCCACTCGTGAAAAACAAAACAAAAGAGGCAGCAAATGTTCCCTGTCCAAAATATATATATATATATTTTAAAAATCCATACACAAAGATGAAAGCAGCACAGCTTGTCTCCAAACTGCAGGTTCCCCTTTAAGTAAAAGTAAAGCCCCCCCCCCCAAGCACAGTTCCCATCACCACGGCAAGGTGACCAACAGCAGAAAGACGAGGCGCCAAAGCTATCGAGAGCACGGCCTGTGGGCTGAGGCAAGGGATGCAAGAAAGGGACCCGATCCCTTTAACGTTCTGCAGGCTTGCTCCTTAAGGCAGCGGCTGAAAGACTGTGGCGAGCTCTGGGAACTAAGCCAAGAAAGGCACCTGCACGGCTTGCCTTTGCCAGCGTCCTTCCCGGCATCTGCGTCAACCCGCTTCGATCTGGCTGGGAGCAGGAGGAGCTGCATCACAGCGCAACGGCTCTGCCCTCAGGCGCAGGCCACCCTGCTTCTGCTACGGCCTCCCCCCTTCGAGAGCTGGCACTGGAGGCACAGGCACCCTGCCCTCGGTACACGAGGTGTCCCTGAGCCAAAGGGCCGTGGCTTCTGGGTGCAGCTGGCAGTGGGAGGCCGCCCCCTCTCTGCTCGCTCAGGGCAGGCCGAGTCCCCCCCCCCCCGGGGCTGTCCCGCCACCTCCAGGCTCCGTCCCTTCCACTGCTCTGGCGCGGTCGGGGGCGGCACGTGGCACAAGGCAGCTGCTGCGTCAGTCTCCCACTGCGGAGGGCGTTGCTCACGGGCAGAGTCCCGGGCTGTCTGCTCCTGTCCTTGGGCGGTGGGCAGCAGGCTGAGGTAGTCCACGTAAGAGTCTACAGACAGGACGGCTACTGCAGAGAGAAGGGGAGATGTGTGAGGGGCACAGGCGCCACACAAAGCACGCACAAAGTTGGCCCTTCTGCTGCCACAGGGGGCTCCAGAGCTCTGGGCTAGAGCACACGCTTTGCATGCAGGAAAGTGCCAGGTTGAATCCTGGACCCCAGTTCCCACGGAGAAGTCCCTCCCTCAAGCTTCCATCAGAGAAGAGGCCACAACAGCCACTCATCCACTCATGCAACACTTTTATGGTTGACAATGTTGTCATTGTTTTACCTGTTTTTTTATATCTATCTATCTATCTATCTATCTATCTATCTATCTATCCATCCATCCATCTATCCATCTATCCATCCATCCATCTATCCATCCATCCATCCATCCACCCATCCATCCATCTACCCTGCCATCCATCCATCTATCTATCCATCCATCCATCCATCTACCCATCCATCCATCTATCCATCTACCCATCCATCCTGCCATCCATCCATCCATCCTGCCATGCCATGCTATGCCATGCCGAGACTAATTTAGTTGACACAAGCAGGCTATGACTTTGTCACTCCCTGGAAAATCCCACTGGAGGATTATTGGGCAGCGGGAGTGGGAGAGACCAAGGAGGGCTCCCACCAGAATGGGCGGTCCAGGAATCTGACCGTGGAGCTGGCTGCAGGTCCCTGGGATTTCCAGGCTGAATGCAGCACCTGGGAGCCTGGGCTTCCATTCTTCAAGAGAGGCAGGCGGAGTGCAGTGATGTTTCGTGATCTTAAAGAGAATATACACTTTCTCCATCCCGCTTCCCAAATATATCCGAATTATGAGGCAGCCAAACCCATGAAAGTAAAATAAAGTGCACAAAACTAATCTATAATCCCACTCAGTTATGGAATGCCCTCCTAGCACCGGAAGTGAAGAAGAGCTTTTGATGTTTTGTTGTTTGTTATTTGCAGCCTGCTGATTGATTTAAAAATGTATTCTGCTCTGATGCTCTTACTTCTTATCTCCTGATTTAAACTGATTTGTTTTAAAATTGGCTGTAATGGTTTTTAGGTGGTGGCTCAAGTGGTTAAGACGCTGAACTGCAGGCTGTGGAAGGTCGGTAGTTCAACAGTTCAAGACCCGAGTTGCCGCATGATGGAGTGAGCTCCCATCTCTAGTTCCAGCTCCTGCCAACCTAGCAGTTCGAAAGCAAGAAATTGCAAGTAGATAAATAGGTACCACTTCGGTGGGAAGGTCACAGCGTTCCGTGCGCCTTGGTGTTTAGTCATGCCGGCCACATGACCACAGAAACGTCTTCGGACAGCGCTGGCTCTTCGGCTTTGAAACGGAGATGAGCTTTCGAGCAAGGGGACCTTTACCTTTACCTTTTAGAAGAAAAAAATGTCCTGCTGTCATGATGATGGGGGGGGGGGTTTCTGGGCTTTGGGGATGGATTTTTATGAAGCTCCACTGTATTTCTGCATTTGATTTATGGTGCATTACATGGGAACCACCAACAGCCTTTGGGCTAAGTGTTGGGTGGGAGATGAATCTTTGAAATAAATGAGGGAGGAAGGAAAGAAAGAAAGTCAGCTGCCAAAAAGATTAAGAAGTTTGAAAATACAAGTGGACCTATTAAAGCATATAAAATATCTTCAGAGCCATAACTGGCTACATCAACCTAGTCAGAAACAAAAGAATGTAAGTAGAGAAACAAAACCAACATACAGCATTAGAATTAGTAATTAGCAAATGTGAAGAAATGAAATCATTCCAAAGGCAAAAAGCACCTCAGTTGCATTTTCAGAAACTAACAAAGTCCCTTTGTAAAATATTTACAGTTAGATGCTACATGTGCCGTGGGCGCGGAGAATCTATATATAGAATTAATACAGGCAACTAATCTTTCTTTGTACTGAAGAAGTTGTACGTCAGGGTCAAATGGGTGAAAAGTTAAATTTAAAAGACCAAAGTGCCCTTGAGATTGGCAGATCTACGTCCCAATACACAGGGAACCAACAAGAATGTGTAACATCCATTGTAAATGTATCCATTCCTTTCAAGTTTTTGATCTGGCTTACAGGAAATTTGTTAGAGGAAGGCCAGCAAATGTCCTCTCCTCTGAAATCTCAGGATAATACAGAGCAGCCAAAATAAGGAAAGGGATGCAAGTGACTTCTGGAGAGGCAAACGCTTCTGTAATAAACATGGGGCTGGAAATAAGAGTCAGGGGGAAACTGAGGGAATCCGAATTCTTCACGGAATATAAATGGATTAAATCAATCTGTTAAACTGAAAGAGGTATTATTGGTTGAAAGGGCCAAACAGAACAAAAGTTTTCAAAATAATCTACAGAATCAAGGTTATGCCTACTTAAGAACAAAGTTTTAAGAGGTCCATTTTTCAAATCAGGATGAATACTTTACACTCCTTGGGCTGATGGACCCCAACAAATGAACTGGACACAGCCAGCTTTTCTGCTGTTGAAAAAAGAGTGAGGGGTCCCCTAAGCTGGGGATCAGGGGACTTGCATGAACAAAAGCCAAGGGTTTTTTTTTGGGGGGGGCACTGTGGTAAGCAGGGGAACTGGGCAAGAGTCAATGAAGAGGCTGTTTGCATCCAGTCTATTAGATCCAACCTGTTATTTCTAACATTACCTTGGGAACCTAAAAGGTGGACTAGATCTCTTCATCAAAGGCAGATTATATTCTTCAGAGAGCACTTCAGCTTTGTATATGTCTGATAAGGCTTGGGAACAGCTTGTGAAATTTTAATAAAGGATGCACAACATTTAGAGAAGGGGAAATTCTAATGGCCCATGGATTTTATCTACTCGCCGTCCACCCAGCGGTTCGAAAGCTTCGGTGAGTAGATAAAATGTGTACCACTCCTTAGAGAGGGTGGGAAGTGTTAGCCGACAAACGGAAGGTCCGCACGTAAGCTCAAAAGCCGAGAGAGATCTACGCAGCGTCAAAGAAAAGCCTGCAATGGGCCCTTCCGGCCAGACGGTGGCAGTGGTGCACTGCGACCGAGAAAAATGCTGACGACATCAAGCGACGCTGAAAATGCTGCCAGAACACGTCTGATGCTTACAGCTGACCAAACTCTCCCTGTCGACTGCGAAGTGTGTGTGATTAAAAATGATATATGTTGTCCTCCCTTACCCCCATCATTGTTAGTCCCGTGTCAACACATGAGCAACTGTAAATCGCTCAGAGCCGGCAGCTCTGCAAGGATTGAGCGATCAGTAAATTGAAATATTATTATTATTATTATTTAACATGGGAATTAACCTCAGATGGTAAAACATTGAGTAGAAATTCTACTGCTAACAAGACTATCCCTACCTGTTAGTGTGTGTGGTTGGGGAATACTGGCGTGCTGTAGACACACCAGTCCGTGTGAATGGGTCTGCTCTCCGGTTTGGTCCCAATTCATACTAAGGTAGCTTCAGCATAAGGGAGAAATATTGGCAATGGCCAGTGCAAGCTGCAACCAAAGGGTCATTTGACAAAGTGACAAACTTGCTAGTGGCGCTACTACTCAGTACTTGATGGTGAAGTCAGAGAAAGCTTTATTGAGGGAAATGATTAATGCCCTAAAAAGTAATATCTGGTACAAAGTGACAATATTGAATACTAGAACACGCAGATTAAGATGCAAATGTTACAGATGCTCTCTCACACACACACACTTTGCAATGTACCATTCAAGAAGGGGAAGGCAAGAGGCCAAAGAGGTGAAGCAAGGCAGCAGCGCGCAGCTGGTAATAGCTACCTATCTGCACAGGTTCCAAAGCAGGGCTCGCGCCACATCCAGGCAGCCAATGATCTAAAAGGTAGGTCAAAGGGGAAAGCAGCAAAGATGCATCAAGTGCATCTAGAGCAGGAATTTCTGCACAAGCCAGAGTGGTCGGGAGCCTGTGCACATTTGGAAGACTGTTTCCGGATTCAGTTATAGGGCTTGGGGCTTGACCGCACACACGCAAAAGCCCATTCCTTTTTCCAGGCCTTGGAGATGGGGGAGGAAACCTCCCTTTAGTACATTGAAAGGTAAAGGTTCCCTTGCTCGAAAGCCAGTCGAGTCCGACTCTAGGGTTGCGGTGCTCATCTCTGCTTCAAAGCCGAAGAGCCAGCGCTGTCCGAAGACGTTTCCGTGGTCATGTGGCCGGCATGACTAAACACCAAGGCCGTGCACGGAACGCTGTTACCTTCCCACTGAAGTGGTACCTATTTATCTACTTGCAATTTCTTGCTTTCGAACTGCTTGGTTGGCAGGAGCTGGAACTAGAGACGGGAGCTCACTCCGTCATGCGGCACACCCGAGTCTTGAACTGCTGAACTACCGACCTTCCACAGCCTGCCGTTCAGCGTCTTAACCACTTGAGCCACTGCAGCTCCTTTTAGTACATTATCTGTTGCCAATTTAACAGCACCCCTTTCCTACTAATTTGTTTGTACCCCATGTGCATCAGGGATTGGATTGCTGGTTATCGTTTTGGATTGCCTTTCTCAAAAGATTCCAGCTGCCTACGCATTTTTGTTGCAGGCCTTCAATCCTTACTTACGACAAATGTTTCCCTCCCTGTCGAAACAGTATGAGAGAGAGAGAGAGAGGGATGTATATGATGGAACTTCTTTATTGTGTTTGCAGTTTAGCCATTAACCCTCTGGGGAACTCGGAGCTGCGTAACTGGGGCACAGGGAACTCCACTGTGAGGCAGGTTAAACTAACACTGGCTCATGGTTAGCCAAGGAGCTTTATCGTTAAGTGGGAATTTGAGCTCAGCATGACGTTCAGCAGTATTTGATAACTCTGTCACTGCCCTTCCTGTAGACATAAGGCCCTACCTGGTTCCTTTCTTTCTCCCTGCCCCCCCCCCACAATTTCAGGTGTGATAGCATCCTCTCTACTTTAATGACAGGGCAGTGATTAACATATTTATTGACTTGCAATTCATAACAGTATAGGAGCTGCGGTGGCTCAAGGGGTTAAGACACTGAACTGCAGGCTGCGGAAGGTCAGTCGTTCAGCCGTTCGAGACCCGAGTATGCCGCAAGACGGAGTGAGCTCCCGTCTCTAGTTCCAGCTCCTGCCAACCTAGCAGCTCGAAAGCAAGAAATTGCAAGTAGATAAATAGGGACCACTTCGGTGGGAAGGGAACAGCGTTCCGTGCACGGCCTCGGTGTTTAGTCATGCCGGCCACATGACCACGGAAACGTCTTCGGACAGCGCTGGCTCTTCGGCTTGGAAACGGAGATGAGCACCGCAACCCTAGAGTCAGATTCGACTGGCTTTCGAGCAAGGGAGACCTTTACCTTTACTAATTCATAACAGTGGGCAACCCACTGAAAACCTGCATCATTTCTATATCGCGCCATCAGTTTACGAAGTAGAAGGATCCCAGCGTGAGAGGTCCTTATCATCTAAGATGTGTCTGGGGTGGCGGGGGATAACAAATGGAGGACAGGACAAACGGCAGAAGGAATGGCCGCAGACTGCCCCGCCCCCGCCAAACCGCAGTCTCTTCCTCCGTGCCCCCCTTCAGCAAGGAAAACTGGATCAGAATCTATTCAGGCTAACAGGCCACTGTACGGCACAGTGTGGAAAGGCAGGCTGGTTTAAATGAGCCACTTTTGGATGGCTCCCTTGTGGCTGGCTGAGCCAAGGGGAGCGCTTAATTGGACAAAACTGTCCCTTCCACGGCTCTCTGATGTATGGGCCAGACGGCGAAAGAAGCAACATTCACCACTTTCCCCTCTGCAGCTGGTCACAAGGAGTCCCAAATTTAATGTGAATGTTTTTCCGACTGGGGAAAATGAACTATCATTAAGTTTATGGATGCGGTGGTATATACCGTTTGTATTATTTGTCAGGAAAATGCAAGATGAGAGAACTAAGCAACAACCACCACTGTGAAATCATCACTACTAGCACTTTATTATGTTTTATGGTTTTAGAACTGTCACTTGTATTAATTGATGCTGTTTAATTTTTATTCTGGAGCTGCGGTGGCTCAAGGGGTTAAGACGTGAACTGCAGGCTGTGGAAGGTCAGTAGTTCAGCAGTTCGAGACCCGAGTTGCTGCATGACGGAGTGAGCTCCTGTCTCTAGTTCCAGCTCCTGCCAACCTAGCAGTTCGAAAGCAAGAAATTGCAAGTAGATAAATAGGTACCACTTCAGTGGGAAGGTAACAGCGTTCCGTGCGCCTTGGCGTTTAGTCATGCCGGTCACATGACCACGGAAACGTCTTCGGACAGCGCTGGCTCTTCGGATTTGAAATGGAGATGAGCACCGCACCCCTAGAGTCGGACTCGACTGGCTTTTGAGCAAGGGAACCTTTACCTTTTTATTTTTTATTCTATACTATTGTACATTTTATGTTGTTTTTATGTGAGCCGCCCTCAGCCGGGAGGGCAGGGTAAAAATTTAATAAATCAAATCAAATCAAGATCATAGAGTTGGGCTCTGGTGTGGTACCAATGGATTTCTTCAGTTTAACCTGCAGAAGTTCTCAGTGTGGAAATCTTTGGCACTGAATAACTCGAGAAAGAGAGATGCTCTTCTGGTCACCCCACCTTAAAAAGGATATTATAGCTTTGGAAAAAGTGCAGAAAAGGGCAACTTGCATGATAAAAGGGTTGGAACACTTCCCCTATGAGGAAAGGTGAAAGCGCTTAGGGCTCTTTAGCTTGGAGAAACGACGACTGAGGGGTAACATGATTGAGGTTTATAAGATTATGCATGGGAAAGAGCAGGTAGAGAAAGAGGTACTTTTCTCCCTTTCTCACAAGACAAGAACTCGTGGGCACTCCATGAAATTGCTGAGCGGTTGGGTTAGAACGGATAAAAGGAAGTACTTCTTCACCCAAAGAGTGATTAACACTTGGAATTCACTGCCACGGCTACAAGCATGGACGGCTTCAAAAGGGAATGAGATAAGCATCTGGAGCAGAGGTCCATCAGTGGCTATGAGCCACAAGGTATAGATAGGGGCTCTGGGGCAAGGGATGCTCTGTCTTCTTGGTGCTTGGGGGGGGGGTTCAACAGTGGGAGGGCTTCTGTGTCCTGGCCCCACTGCTGGACCTCCTGATGGCACCTGGTATTTCTGGCCGCTGTGTGACACAGAGTGTTGGACTGGGTGGGCCTTTGGCCTGATCCAACATTGGCGTCTCTTATGTTCTTAACTCATCTCTCTGCCTTTACCCAAACTCTCCATCCTTCCAAAACAGGATACCAGCCAACCAACCGCCCCAGGACCCGATGACGCCGCCTTTCCTCCCAGGCCAAGGCAGGTCACAGGAGGTTCCCTCTCTAGCCTGCCCAGCACAGGGCTCAGGCGCCACAAGCCTAAGGGCACTTTCCTGGGAGTAAGCCCACTGAATAGAGTGGGGCCTCCTCCTTCTGAGCAGACATGCGTGCACTCGCCCCCGCAGCCACCAACTGACCCCGTGAGTCATGTCTCACCAGGCATCCGACGTCACTGGCAAAGGTCACTCCCTTGCTCTGCCGCAGCTCCTGGGAGAGACTGCTGCTCCCGCCGCTGACAGAATTCCTCCTCATGATCCCTGCGGGGGAGTCAACAGGGTTAGTTGAACCCAAACAGATGGTAACCAGAAACCAAGCTTGTCATTCTTTCGATCTGTTGAAAAACATCTTCACTGTTTTGCATGCTAATTTAACAAGCCACCATCTATATATACAACTATGCAGGGCTATTTTTGGGCAGGAACGCACAGGAACGGAGTTCCGGCTGGCTCCCGAGTTGTCCACGCCCAGCAGACCCAGCAGGACTGCATTAGCATAACAGGCCACACCCAACAGCAGAAACTCATTAGGATTGGCTACGTTAGGGGTGTGTGGCCTAACATGCAAAGGAGTTCCTGCTACAAAAAAAGACCCTGGGTTTTGACAACAAACAAGGTAAACAGAATAAGAAGGGAAAGGTGGGTGTGGCTGGATAACCACACTTCTGGTCACATGGGGGTGCGGCCTAATGTGCTAATGAGCTGTGCTGTCAGGTGTGTGGCCTACTATGCTAATGAGTTTCTGCTGTTGGGTGTGGCCTATTATGCTAATGAGTTCCGGTTGGGCTTTTTCTACAAAAAGAGCCCTGCAACTATGATCTGTAATTCCACAGAAGCTCACGTCTTGAATAAGACTTTGTTGGTCTTCAAGGTGTCACTGGACTCGAACTTTGCTCTCTTGCTTCAGACCAACGCGGCTGCCCACCTTAAGCACACAGCAGAATATACAACACACAATGTTTCGAAAGCACCTACTCGTGATGTCCCCATTATCTGCAACAAATATGGGTCTTCGGACACATCTTGACGCTCCAAGTCGAGCATGTGATCTCACAGATGGCTATGAAAAATGGGGATGGCACGACAGCTTAAATTCCCAGCCACCTGCACCATCCACAGATGCCAAACGCTTTTTCACTGGGCACTGACGTATTCAGGACGCATGGGGGGGGGATTTCTCTGCCTCAAAAACTTGCTTTCTGGAGCTTTGTAAGGCGGATAACTTTCCCAGTTTTTCTAACGTTTGTAATCACAACTTCAGCAAAATGCGTCTGGCTCTCAAAGTGGTACGCCTCGCGTCATTCGCTAGCTGCCGTGTCCTCTTTACCAGATTCTGCTTTCACTGGGTGTAGGATGGGGGGGGGGTGTGTACGGGAGTGAGCCACCTTGGGGGTGCGGCAAAAAACCCCTAAAATACAGCCAGGCACGTAGTGCTAATGCACAAAATATAATATATAGTTTAATTATACATTCAAAAGTGCTAAAATATCATTTAAAACTGCAATCCTATGGTTCTGCATATAGGTACCTAACCCTAATATAAAGACAAATATCCAATATTATAAATACAGGTCCAAAAGGTACAAATTATATCCATATACAAGAACCAATACCAAACACATTTCGGCTGCAAGCCTTCCTCAGTGGTAAAATTCAGAATTCAGCTGATTCTTTTCTATTAGTACCTGAGCACTCCATTGGAGCTTTCAGCATTGCAGACTGGGCCTAAATCCAGGGGCATATGAAATACCGTACATCTTGATGCGTTGCCCATGTTGTATCTGAAGAATATTTATCACCACTTACTCCACAGGTGAACATCTCAGTGTCCATTCTGTGAATGAGGGGTTTTGTGTATATTTTTGTTAAATTCAGGGGTCATTTCCTGCAGGAGCGCACAGGAGCGGAGCTCCGGCAGTAAAGAGCCCAGGGGGCGGGCACATGCAACAAGCTCCACCCCCTGCTCCCAGCAGCCCTCAGTCAGAGCAAGAAGCAGCCAGGTAAGTTTCAGAGCCCCCCCCCCCGGTCCCCCGGTCCAAAACAGTCCAGTGGCACCTTTAAGACCAAGTTTTATTCAGGTACAAGCTCTCCCTCCTCTGCGAGGACAGATCTGCACGTCCCCGTCCCCCCCAATAGCTAGCAATCCAAAACAGTCCAGTGGAGCCTGAGCGGTGGGTGTTGCCTTCTGACACACTTCCGGTGATGTCAGGGGGTGTGGCATATGCAAATGAGTTATGCTAATAGGCTCCTGCACCTCTTTTTCTACAAAATGACCCCTGGTTAAATTTATGGAGTGCTCAGTTTGAATCTTTTCGTGGCGTGCTCAGCCTTTTCTGGTTCTCCTCCCCTTTCCCGGTCACACTCACCTTGGGGCTGCCCCATGTCCAGGCGCTGCAGACTGTTGCGCCGCGGGAAGAGGCTGAAGCTGCTTTTGGAGAGGCGGCGCTGGCGGCTGGAGAGCATGGCGGCTGGGCACACGATGCCAGGAGGCGGCACCTTGCCCAGGCGGGCATACAGTTCCTCAATTTCTTGCTTCTGTTGGGCCTGGAGCATCTCTACTTCAGACAGGTGCCTGGGCAGAAGGGAGAGAGAAGGAAGGGGAGGCGTCAGTCCGGGGTGGTGGGGGTGGGGGGGTCAGGGAGCAGTGGGGAAAGGGGGGCCCCTCGCCCTCCGCTCACTTCTGGCGCAAGAGCTGCAGCTCCTCCCAGACGTCGTCGTCTTCAGCACTGTCCGTATCGTCGCTGCTCGGATAGGAGGTGCTGTACAGGTAGTTCACCCAGACGTGGGTGCTGGAATGGGCATCCCCTTCCCCCTCTCCTTCCGCCACCGGCGTGGTGCCCTCCTCTGCCTCCTGGACTGGGGTCCCGCCTGGAGACTCGCTGCCCGACTCTGAGGCGCTGGAGGAGGTGGGCCCGTCGGCCTTCGGAGGGATCTCAGGGGGCACATCCCGGGTTGGCGTCACGCAGAAGCGGCCCAGGATCTGTGGCTTGGGCTCTAGAGGTGGAGGAGAGCAGATGGGCACGGTTACTGTGGGGAGGAGAGGGGAGGGGAGACCTCCCGTGTTCCCTCTAAAGCTGAGTTAGTGTGAGCTAGCTCACAGTTTTTTAGCCTCCGGCTCACACATTTTTGTCTTCGCTCAGGAAGGGACGGGGCTCCAGAGCAAACTGATTTATGCAGTCGCCAAATCGCTCGCTCACACCTTCAATGCCAGCAGCTCACAAAGTAGAATTTTTGCTCACAGGACTCCACAGCTTAGAGGGAACATTGCAGACCTCCCGTGGGAATCTGTGCCGTAGTGGGAGGGGGGAGAACAAGAAATAACTGTTTTTCTTAGGCTTACTATAATTTCAAAATAAACATTCAACATTTCTCCATTGTTGTTGTTGTTGTTGTTCAGTCGCACAGTCGAGTCCGACTCTTCGCGACTCCATGGACCAGATCACGCCAGGCCCTCCTGTCTTCCGCCGTCCTCTGAAGTCGGCTCAACTTCATGTTCGTTGCATCGATGACACTGTCTAACCATCTCATCCTTTGCCGTCCACGTCTTCTTTCTTTGACCTTCAATCTTTCCCAGCATCAGGGTCTTCTTCTCCAGTGAGGGCTCCCTTCTCATTGGGTGGGGCCAAAGTATCTGAGCTTCCATTTCATTATCTGGCCTTCCAGGGAACAGTCAGGGTTGATTTCTTATAGGATTGACTGATTTGATCTTCTTGCAGTCCAAGGGACTCTCAAGAGTCTTCTCCAGCACCATAGTTCAAAAGAATCTATTCTTCGGCGCTCGGCCTTCCTTATAGTCCAACTCTCGCAGCCATACATGACTACTGGGAATACCATTGCTTTGACCATGCGGACTTTTGTTGGCAGGGTGATGTCTCTACTTTTTATCATGCTGTTTAGGTTCGCCATCGCTTCCCTCCCAAGGAGCAGGCGTCTTTTAATTTCATGGCTGCTGTCACAGTCTGCGGTGATCTGGGATCCCAGGAACGTGAAGTCTGTCACTACGTCCACGACTTCCCCTTCTATTTGCCAGGGTGTGATGGGGCTGGATGCCATGATCTTAGTTTTTTTGATGTTGAGCTTCAAGCCAACATTTCTCCTACCAGCAGCAAAAAATCATCATGTTGTCTATGTGGATTTTTAACGTGACACCCCTGGAAGACACCAGGCAGACTGACGCCTACAGTCCCCACTTGTGGGAAGGTCGTTCGCCATCTGGCCTTTTATTAGGGAACAGAAAAGGCTTCCCGACTCGGGCCTTGCCCCAGGCCCCCAAATCCCAGGGCCACAGCCCCACACACCCTCCTGTCCCTCCTCACCTTCACTGATGGGGAAGAGCCGGGCGAGGTGGGAGGTGGGGGCAGGAGAATCCGATCCAACGAGGTGTGAACCGGAATGGAGGAAGGCGGAAGAGGTTGCCTGTTGAGAGAGAGAGAGAGAGAGAGAGAGAGAGTGAGTGGTGGGCCAGGGCACTCACTCCCTTTGTGCCCTCCTCTGACTGCCTGCCTCCTGCCTCCTGCCCTCCAGGGCCCCTCCCTCCCAGGACAGCAGGTGGCCTCGTGGTCCCCGGGCAGCAGACTGAGCTCAGGCCGTGGGCCTCCTGACCCAGCAGCAAGTCACACGAGCGGTGAGAGCCAGGTGCTCTGCCGGCAGCATCCTCAGGAACCGGGATGAAGAGGGGCAACTACGGGATACCCCAAAAAGATATAAGACACACGCACACCAGTTTGGTGTAGTGGTGAAGTGCGCGGACTCTAATCTGGGAGAACCGGGTTTGATTCCCCCACTCCTCCACTTGCACCTGGCTGGATGACCTTGGGCAAGCTGTAGTTCTGATAAGAGCTGTTCTTGAAAAAAGAGCCGTTTAACTGGCTGGATGACCTTGGGCAAGCCGTAGTTCTGATAAGAGCTGTTCTTGAAAATGAGCCGTTTCTGTCAAGAGCTCTCTCAGCCCCACCTGCCTCACAGGGTGTCTGTTGTGGGGAGGGGGAGGGAAAGGAGTTTGTCAGCCGCTCTGAGACACCTTTGGGGAGTGAAGGGAGAACCAGGTTTGATTCCCCACTCCTCCACGTGCACCTGGCTGGATGACCTTGGGCAAGCCATAGTTCTGATAAGAGCTGTTCTTGAAAATGAGCCGTTTCTGTCAAGAGCTCTCTCAGCCCCACCTGCCTCACAGGGTGTCTGTGGTGGGGAGGGGAAGGGAAGGGAGTTTGTGAGCCGCTCTGAGACACCTTCGGGTAGTGAAGGGCAGGGTATAAATCCCATCTCCTCCTCCTCCTCCTCCACACACCCCCACCTACAGGCCAATTTGATAGCTTCAGATGACTGATGGGAGATATTCCATGTTCTCTCCTGGGAGGGTGTGCACATTTTATTTCCGTGGCCTTCTTAACCGTCCGCCACAACCTCGTGCGTGCTCACATGTGTGCCGTTCAGTGGGCGGCCCCGTCCTGTTCCACCTCGTGGGGTTTCCAAGGTGCGAGAGGAGCAGAGGGGGCACGCCACCCCCCTCCCTCTGTGCAGCAGCCCCTGCCTGGACTGGTGGTCTCCTGTCCCGATACCAGCCCTCTTTGCTTCCAGACTCCGAGAAGGTCAGGCTCGTCTGGGCGATCAGAGCTGCTGCTGCCACCAGCCCACGAGATTAAAAACCACCAGGGCTGGCTTGGGGCTGGGGGGGAGAGCAAGAGGTCTCTATTCTGAAGAGGTAACCGCGTCGACGTTTCAAGCTCCAGCTTAAGGTATCTTAAAGTTCTACTATAGGGGGGGGCAGGATCCCCTGCATCGTCGAAGCCCCCGTTCTTATTATCTGTGTTGCAGAGATGCAGGAATGAGGGTGATGAAGCTTCCCCCAAGGCCAGCCAAGCAGTTGCTGACAGCGGAGAAATTCTGCCCAAGCTCGGCCACTCCATCCCAACGGCCAGCAAGCAGGCCAGCCGGGCAGAGCACCAATGCCCATTCCTGTAACTTGGCAACTGCTCTTCCTTCTTTTCTTTTTTTCTTCGCAATTTTTTTTAAATTTTCAGTTTTACAAATCAGACATTCCATCAGTAATCCTTACATATATAGTAGAGTCATTAAACACTTAACAAGTTATCTAACCATTTATACACCTTTAACCATCTCTCCGCATGTACCTTCTCGTTTTGATTTTGTAATGTCAAACTGAAATTATCCATTTGTGCTAATTCTAGTATCTTATACATCAGTTCTACTCTAGAGGGTATTATTCCAAATTTCCAATTTTTAGCCAATAATAGTCGAGCAGCAGTTATTATATAAACTAATAGACACGATTCTTGCACATTATATCTATCTGGGATTATATTTAACAGATATATTTCTGGTTTTAGTGCTAAGTTTTTTTTCTAGAATTTCTTGAATTATTTTCCGCACCATTTCCCAATAGCCTTGTATTTTACGACATTTCCACCACATATGGTAAAAGGTCCCAATATTCGTTTTACATTTCCAGCATAAGTTGGAATACCCAGAAAAACGTTTAGCTAATTTATCCGGTGACCAATACCATCTGTGGAACATTTTATATACGTTTTCCTTATACGAAATGCCGAGGTTGGGAGGCCGTGCCTTCTCGGTCTGTCCCCGCCCCACCACCCACAGGCAAAGACACCCCCGTTCCAGCCCGGCTTACCAGGCTGTTGTCAGGACTCTCCGCAGCAGAGGTGTCGGAGGGCAGCGGAGACGCCTGCGGCCCAAAGAGCCCATTGGCCAGTGGGGCCGGTTGAGTGGGAGGCACCGTCTCCGGGTAGATGAAATGGGCAGCAGCCTGGCTGGGTGGGCAGGGCCCTGGTGACTGTGGGACAGGGGAGGTGTAGACAGGGCCTGCCTGGGCAGGGACTCCAGAAACAGCTGGCAGAAGCGACTGGGCCACACTCATCACGGCTAGGGAGAAGACATTGGCAAGAGAGAACAGGGATGGTGAAGGGGAAGGAGAGGAGGTCCAGAGAGGGAGAGGGGGTGTGTGCCCAGTAGTGCCAACAGAGGGGACAGTGGGTAAAGCGAGGGACACGGGAGGAGGGAGGGCGCCTGGTGGGGGGATCGGTTGGGACACTGGGAGCAGGTAGGGAGGAGTCGCTGGCACCGCGGGGCGAGAGGTCCAGGTCTGTGCAGCTATGCTAGGGGCACCTGCAAAGAGAAATGCAAAGCCCCAGGTGAACGAACGCCCGGCTGGAAAGCAGGCAGGGGAGGGAGGCTGGCTCTCGCTGGCCCTGTGGCAAAATGCACCCCCTGCCAGCACAGCCAAGTCTGCACACACACACACACACACACACCCCTACACATTTTGTACTACAGTAGAATAAAAACTGTGCTACCGAGTAATGCACATCCAGCACATCTGTGTGGGGTGTGGGTATAAGCTCTTAGGGTTTAAAGTAATTCATTCTGCTCGCAGAATTCTTGATTTCCCAAGAATATAGATTATTTGGTAAAGACACAGGGGAGGAGGAGAGTCATCCCTTTTAGGATGTGGATTTGAGGGCTGGACGGGGACTGCAGAATCCACTGAAACCCTCCCCCAGCGCAGTCTAAGCCCCTGTCAACATGGCCCAACCTCATCTGGTTTCTGAGCTTAGCGTGCGATTCCCTGCAGTGTCATTCCTGTCTATGCATTGCTGTGGTCTTAAAAAGGTAAAGGTAAAGGTCCCCTTGCTCGAAAGCCAGTCGAATCCGACTCTAGGGTTGCGGTGCTCATCTCCGTTTCAAAGCCGAAGAGCCAGCGCTGTCCGAAGACGTTTCCATGGCCATGTGGCCGGCATGACTAAACACCAAGGCGCACGGAACGCTGTTTACCTTCCCACTGAAGTGGGGCTTATTTATCTACTTGCAATTTCTTGCTTTCGAACTGCTA